GGTTGTTCCCATACAGAAATGTGCAAATGCCAGTTTTGCTCTTGCACGAATGAGCACACACACTACCCATGTGTGGTGCCCTGGCAATGAACTCAGGATGAAGCAGAAAAGCTCATGGGTTTTAGAATAAGGGGTTTCGTGGCTAGAAGAGACCATAGTGATCTTCTGGTTTGCCCTCCTGATTAGCCTGGGCCACAAAGGTGGTAGATCTGTCCTTTTTTATTTCCAAGGCCTTGGATGCGATGTTCTAGACGATAAAGCTGGCTTATGCTTTCCTGGTACAAGGATTCAACCTCTTTGTTTTGCATGAGGAATACGAGAACACAAGTGTATTTATATACTCCTATCTAAATGTATCCCCGTGCACACACATACATTAGCAAGAGCTATCTGGATAAACACAAACCTGTGTCATGTCTCTCTGTGAATGACCCTAATTTTCCCCCAGTCCCTTCACAATTGCTGTGATTCTTGTTCTTGTCCTCTTGCTCTGCAGAGGGTCAAACATCCTGCATCTCATTGTCCCTTCTGTCTCTTTAATTAGTGCCCATCCTCCCCCTTCTCCCCCTCGCTCCCGTGTCCCCCCTTCCCACCTCCTCTCAGCACTTGGTTTGCAATGCTCTATTATTTCACCTTTCATGCATGCCGTCTCCTTCGCCCAGGCCCATCTGACACCTCTGCCTTACACTTATCATAGAAACATAACATTTAAATACAAATAGAATGGGGAATAATTTAACCCCTATTTGCACTGGGGAAGGTGCCTAGGCTCCGTATAAACACAGCCGGGGAGATTTATAGGTGCTGTATGTTTATCTGACATGTTTCTGCACCACTGTGTCTTGCAGCCAGCTTTTCATTCCTGATAGGCACAAACTCCCATTGCTGGTCAAGAGGGAAACTTGGTTTCACGGGGATATTGGAAATGTAACCAGGGGGTGACATCTAGGAACTCCCTTGCTATTGCGGTGGCCTTTTTCTACTTACCTATCCTCTTGGGAGAAATGGGGAGGTGCTGGCTCTTGTCATTGTTATAGTTTGTTTATGGCAAAATGGGGTAGGCTCATTGTGAGTAGCTCATGGTGAGGGCTTTGTCATGCACCAGCAAAAACCTCCTCACCTCTTCTGGTACCACAGCCCAGAGAAATAGCCACCCATGCTTATTTCCATGGGCCAAGCAGGTATGATGGGCTCAGTTTGTGGGGAAAGACTGGTAATGGTGTGGGGAAAACAAGAATGGAGAAGAAGCTTACATGGACACCACACTCAGCCCCCACGCTGAGGGGCAGTGCCACTGCTCAGGCTGCTGCTGACACCAACACATCCTCTCTTCATTTTATTCTGTCATCTCATGGCCTTGTTCAGACATGTTTACAAAGCAGGAGTACCTGCTCTGGTGCATGGTATGTCAGCTTTTAATGTGGGACCTGGAAGAGCAGTGTATGGGAGCACTCAGGGTGTAAAAGGCATATATAAACCCATTAGAAGATAAACTCATTAGCCAAGATCTGGAATGTGCTGAAAGGTCCAAGCTGCTGGATGCTTCCCTCTCTCTTTCCACCCTAGATATGTGAGAAGCATTGTTAAAATACACTGCTGAGCTCCCTGGCAGGGCTGGGACATGGAAGGTAACTGCAGCACTTTGTTAGAAGAACCTCTCAGCGATAAAAAAGCTTGTTAAACTGACTCATTTATTATCAGCTGAGTGTGTGATTGTGCAGATTTCTGAGATGGCAGATGTGACAAATGATTCCCCTGACAACCCAAGGCACGGGTTTTCAGGAGGGAGACAGGATGTTGATTTGGAGACAGGGCTGGAGGTGGAGTCCAGTCAATGCTGAGCTCTGTCTAGCCATGGGGTGGCCCTTCATGCCACCTCCCTTGGAGATGCTGGACCAGAGCTCCTGGGGAAGGTGGTCCTCACTCTGGGCAGAGTCTGTTCCTGGTGGTGGTCTTATTGTCACCTTGTAGGCAGCTCAACCAAGAACCACATCTACTGCCAGCCGGCGCTGGAGTCAGGCATCACCATTCCCAGTGTCCTGCAGAGATGAATAAAAGAGAATAAAAAACTAAACTATAATAAAATAAGTAAAATAGAATGCAAAATGAAGAGGTTCCTAAAACACCTGGTTGTAGCTTTGCATAAACTAAACCAGACAAGGCAGTTTCAGGCCAGTTCTATACTAGAGAGCTTTGCTGACAGAGGAGGGATGTGATTTTTTATCTTTTAATGATACATTTATATTAGCAAAAAAACCTGGTGAAAATACAGTTACACAGCTATAGGAGTGCTTGTGCTGATGCAGCTTATTTGAAACAGGGAAAACTGTATAAAGTACAATATAATAGCTTCCTCTGTGCTGGAAGTATTCACGAGACGCAATCTTTCTAGGCAAAACCTTTTGCTGCTGGTGTTCCCAGTGTGTTCCCACTGCTCTGCCACATTCTTAAAGTATCTCCCATTTTCCAGGAGAGCTAGTCTCATTTGCTGGGTGGGTTTTCCTCCAATACGTGGACAACCATTGGAGCTTGGACTGAACTCTTTCTCTAAGGCTTTGTCTAGGCCTAGGCTGAAAGAGGCTGTGTCTCCACCCTCAGTTTCAGTGGCTGTCTCTCTAAGGTTCATACTTCACCTCTGAGATTCTCTTTTGAAGGTCAGTTTGGCCATCAAGGAGACAAACCTTTCAGATATCCAGAGCACCTTCTCTTGTGGTGGGGATAATGTATACAGTGTCAGTTAGAGCTTTGTGCATCAGTAAATCCTGGACTTTGTGTTATGAACAAGTCCCTTTGCTTAATCAATTCCAACATAAAGTAGGCATATTTCTTGCTTTAACGTGTCTATCACAAGGGTGTTCCTGTTTTTCTCCCCTATCAAAATACACATGTATCCTTCTCAAACTATTTTTCCTACCATTTCAGAAGCCAAACTGAAGGCAACATGACTTTGTTTTCTCTGGGCAGTAAACTTTAAGTTCACATGGATAACTTGATTGCAGGACTGAAAGCTCCTAATATCCACTGCATGACAAATTATCCTCATCCAAGGCTATAAAGTAATTTCCAATTTGCAGGTGCACCATGGAGAGGGGACTTTTGATCAAACACTAGTTGAAGCAGGACAGATTGTCTACATGAATGATTTCTCAGTGAACAAAAGTGACATAAATCACCCAATTAGTCAGCCAGAAAAGGGTTGTTGCAAACCAATGTTTTGTTCAGCTTTAGTTTGACATGTACATTAAAAATAAATAAATTTTTAAAAATCAAACTATTTATTTATTTACATGTATTTATTCAAATTGGTTACATCTGCTTTGTAAGCCGAAAAGAAAACTTGGTTCACACATTTACATAGTGTTTAATGAATGATAAATAAGACATTTATGAATCGTGTGCAAATGGCCTGTTTACATACACGATGTAACGTACGTAAATTTCTTTTTTTCTTGCTGTAATGGTACTAGTGTCTGAACATAAACCTGCTCTAAAGCCATCACTCAGTGCCCTCTGAAATCTTTATACCAGCTCAGCAATCATTAGTTTAGTCTATTTTCACCAACATTCTCTGAATGTGTTTCATTCTGGACTGAAGATCCGCATATTGGTGTAAGTCAAAGTATAAATCATCAATCATCCAGTTCCCACCACCCCCTGTCATGGGCAGGGACACCTTCCACTAGAGCAGGTTGCTCCAAGCCCCTGTGTCCATCCTGGTCTTGAACACTGCCAGGGATGGGGCAGTCCCAGCTTCTCTGGGCACCCTGTGCCAGCACCTCAGCACCCTCACAGGGAAGAGCTTCTGCCCAAGAGCTCATCTCAGTCTCCCCTCTGGCAGGTTAAAGCCATTCTCCTTGTCCTGTCCCTACAGACCCTTGCCCAAAGCCCCTCTCCAGGTTACCTGTAGCCCCTTTAGGCACTGGAGCTGCTCTAAGGTCTCCCCTTAAGGAGCCTTCTTTTCTCCAGCTGAACCAGCCCAGCCCTCTCAGCCTGGCTCCAGAGTAGAACTGCTCCAGCCCTCGCAGCAGCTCCATGGCCTCCTCCGGTCTCATTCCAACAACTCCATGTCCCTCTAACGTTGGGGGCCCGAGAACTGCACACAGTGCTCCAAGTGATGTCTCACAAGAGCAGAGTAGAAGAGCAGCATTACCTCCCTCAACGTGCTTGGCCACATTCCTTTTGATGCAACCCAGCATACAGCTGGCTTTCTGGAATGAAAGCGCACACTGCTGGGTCACGTTGAGCTTCCTCATTCAAAATACAATTATCTACTAGCAGACCATGTCTTGCTTTGACATGAAATACCACCTGCTTGAGCTATCTCAGGTATTAGTAATCATACAAGTTTACTTTATGTTTCAAAAACTTTTGGCTTTGTTCAAATAACTTAAAAAATAACTTTAAAAGTGTATTAAAACCCTCATCCAAACTTGTATGTGTGTGTCTGTGAGTGGGTATGAATGACAAATCTCCATTTACAGGCTGTGGCTTCCTGATTTATATCCTGATTATAAACAGCTTATGTTAAATCTGATTTTTTTTTTCCTTCAACTTATTTAGTATTGCGAGGGCTACTAACTTATGTTATTTTTCATTTGGGCTTTATTTCTATGTGATATCTTTATCCACATTCCTCTTGGATTGCAGTCTGAGCAATGTTGCCATTTCAGTTACTAAAAGCTGACTGCAAAAATTGATCAGAAAAAGCTGATTTGAAAGACTTTGGTGCCTGGATTTTGAGAAGCAGTTAGAGATTTTATATATAAGTCAATCTTTCAGGGTTTTATTTGTTTGCTTTTTTTAAATTGCCAAATTATTTTCAAGCATTCGTTGAAAGTCAGATACTATTAAGGTATTTGAGCTAGCCACCTGAAAAGACTAGCAGCTTCCTAAATATGTCAACTCAATGAAATCACCGTTTGTTTTGCATGTGATACTGAGCCATCTTGGCTTTCATATCCCTCCTGAAATATGGTAAGCATCTCTTTATTTTGTTCCAGAAGATAGAAAACTCTTTGTGGGCATGCTCAATAAGCAGCAGTCAGAAGATGATGTGCGCAGGCTATTTGAGGCATTTGGCAACATCGAGGAGTGCACGATCCTTCGGGGACCGGATGGCAACAGCAAAGGTAAGGTTATGGTTTGAGTCAAGCTAGACCCAGTCTCAGGGTAGATATCATTTTCTGGTGTGACAAAGTCACTGTGTAGCTGCCAGGAAGCATCTCTTATATTAGGAGTGGTCATATTTGCCAAGGGAGGCTGTTACTTTGCTGGTTGCTGTCTGCTTTTGTGTGAGAGGAAAAACCTGATTGCGCTTAAAAACACATGCTCCTTGTGAGCTGTGTCTTGCCATGTGCAAACTGATGGCTATTACTTGCCCACCAGACAGAGGGTACCCTTTGATCACAGGGCCATATACCTTCACTCAAGATGTGCTTTCCCCCACCCCATTGAACAGGGCAGCTCTTTCTTTGAACAAAGTCTGGGTTGCTATTTTACATATTGGCTCAATGGCTCCACCATTATCTCTGCTTACTTCTCACCCACTGGCCGCAGGTGTTCCCCCTTCTTCACTTGGTCTTTGCATAGACACATGTTAGCCAGTCATCACAACTGCAAAGTTATAGGTGCCTGTTTAAATATTACACCCAGCAGACATTTGCCATGTGAAACATGAAAATTCTTCATCGCAAAACTAGGTACTTTACTTCCTTCCACTTTTTGGCATCACTTGCTATCTGAAGAGCACAAAGGATCCTCTGCTAGATCCAAAGTGTAAGAACGAGGCTTCTCTCTTGAATAGGAGGGTCATTTTTTTCCCCGTCAGTCTCCAGACAAAGTAACTTCAATTTGAATAGGAAGCCTTCCTCTCTTGACAGTATAATGTGTCCATTAAATATTGATCTGCATATAATATATCATAAGCTGTGCTGGAATGTGCAGCACCAGAGAAGAGACCAGTTCTGTGGGTGCAGTTCATATCTCACTGGATATTTTGACATGTGACAACATCAGCCAGCAGATTTTTGCAATGGGAAGGCAAAAAATCCAAATCACAGTGATACACTGGAGAAAGGTATTGCTGTTCCATAAAATCATTGGCAGACAAAAAAGACTTCACACCAGCATTACAGGGCAGCTGTTTGATATACATCAATAAAGCTCAGCCTTCCTCATATAAATGGCTGAAAATAAACCATGGGCACCTTCCTTCAATTGTATAGTTACTTTAATTCCATGAGACCCAAAGACAGGGGCTGCCTCACTGGAAAGCGGTAAGCTAGGTTGGACTAGAGGACCTCCAACCATCGTAACGGCAGGCAGTTAAACACTTCATTCACTGAACAAATCAGTAAATTGGAGAAGAGCAAGAAAGTATATATCTGCCTCCGCCTAGAATTGTATAGAACAAAATCTAATGACAAAGGAGTTAAACAGAGTAATAATAAAGGCAATAAAGTCTAAGATCTGTATGAAACAGATTTCAAAGTAAATCCAACCCACAGAGTTTTATTCATGCTTGCTCTATCTTTTTTTATCTTTTTCTTAAACAATTTCATTACAAGTCTGAATCTGAGTGGCAGCTCCATATTGCTAACCAGTTTAATTATTAGTGCTAGCGGGCTGCAGTCTCAGGCTTGCATTTCACCGAGCTGTTTGGGATCAATACTGAGCCTTGACAGAGTTAATATTACCAGCTTCCATTTGCTGGTGCTATTTACTGGGAATGTGAGGCTCCTAATTTACACACACACAGTTACATACACGCACACACACACACGGCGCAGTCAATCCAACAGAAAACTTAAGGCTAGTGCCCTTATCTTAGAAGACAGTCAGGCAAGCCACAACTCCCACAAAGTTATTCCCAGTCTGTAATGTTTTCCATCTGCTAGAAACCAATATGTGACACACATGGCTTGTGAGCAACTTATTTTGGGTAAAGCCCATAAGGCTTAAATTCTACCTAAATTAATATCTAAGCAGACTGTCTAAGTGCCAGAGAGAAATCAGATCCCATAGACCTCAATCCAACACAACCACTACGTGAAGGAGTCCTCAGGTGAGGAAGCTGAAGTGAATCCAGTTCAGGCGGCCAGCAGGACCTGCAGGGTCTGCATTGCTGCTCTCTGGATAGTCTCTTCCCTCAACCCCCCTATTTTTCCTCTGTTCAGCATTTGTCTAGTTCAGTAACTCAGAAAGCAAAGATTTTCCCAGAAGTTCCACAAGAGGAGTCTTAACACCCTCTGCAATTATAACCTTAGGCCCTGACTCTGCAGTCTCATCTGAGCTGACAGTAAGAACAGCCCTTCCAGCTCTATAATCTGGAAGTAAGAAAACAAAAAATCTTAAGCACATCTATCTCCTTGTTCAGCACAGGTTATATATATGTGTGTCAAAATCCCTTCAAAGGTCAGATCTGCTCCTGAAAAAGAGACACCATTTTTCTGAGGAGAGTGACGTGCCTTATGTCCCTCCACGGCTCATGAGTCCTGTAGTCAGTTCTGGTGACAATAGAAAGGAAGGAGATTCTGTGTACATTTGGTGTTGTGTACAGACGCCATCACATTGAACACACAAACAAAAGGACCAAAAAATTTGGGATCTCTTTTATTAACTTGACATTGTACACCAGTAAAAGCTGAATTTTCCTTTGTCCTGCTACCTTAAAACCTACTGAAAGCAGTAAGAGGAAGCAGTAGGAGGGACATCATTAGCATCTTGGGCAATAAAGAAGATGAATGCCTTCTACTCCTTTTATTCCCACCTTTATCCAGCTCCACAGATCCATCAGGTTCCTCAGCACAGGGATGAATTTCACCTGAAGAGTGTGAAGCCTTCAATATTACAGCAACACTGCAGCCAAAAATCCTGCTCTAAATGCAATGGGTGACTGGAGCTGGAAAGCTTTTGTATATTTGCTAATCAGCATCTTCTTTTTAGAGGCTGAAAGTACAAAAGAATCTCTGCAAATAATTAAACACCCTAATTCTGGATTATCTCTGATTAATGAAGAGGAAGGCACAGTATCTCAGGAGCCTGGGAATGCTGGGCTGCGATTATGTCATAATTGATCTCTATTGTTTCCAGCTGAAGTTTATCTATCTCATTTTCTCATGATTGTCTCCTCTCAGCTCCTTATAAATTAGATCCAACTATTAGCAACAATCATTGTGCTTTTCCTGAAATACAGTCTGAGCAGTGCTGAGAGTGTAATGCAATGTGAAGGGCTCCTAACTGTAAGCCAATTTCCTATGTCTGCTTATTTTTAGAAGGGGCTATCACTGCTTTTTTCGATCTCACTTCTATCAGCCCGCAGTGATGATACTGGGGACCTTTGGGGCTCATTCTTCATGTTTGCAAGTGGGGTGTTCTAATGCTTCAGCTTTTACCCCGCACTGTATGGTTCCATGAGGAGGTATGGACCTTCTAAAGAGTCTGCAAAGGGAATAAAGGAGAGTTGTCCCATTGTTAGGACTGGCATACCCTGTGCAGTGATCTGCACCCCTTCAGGGAAACAGCTAGGGCTTTGCAAATTGATTAAAAGCTCAAATGTCTTTAGTGGTAATAGAAGGGGATGGAAGCCAGAACTTCTCAGATCTCTCCCAATCTGTTCCAAAAACCGCCTTAGCATATGGAAATTACTCTTCCTCTCTCTGAGTCAGTTTGCTTGTAGCTAAGAGTGTTAGCAATACTTTCCCCCACTCCAGTGGTGCATGTGACCCTTTGAAGTGTTGATCATTTCTGCACACTAGCACGTATTCATAAAAGCACCTTTCTGACCTAAAACATTGTGTAAGAATTCGGTATGAGATTCCTCACATGGCAATGCAGGCTGGGGAGGCACTGCCTACGTTTCTCTCAAGTCCAGAGGAAAGCACCCATACAGGTACTGGCTCTGCAGCTATGGAAGTCTAAGATCCAAATTTTGGTGGTGGTTGTGAGCTGATAATCTTCACATGCAGATCTCTCCGATCCCTGCTTCTCCATCAGAAGCTGTCTCAGGCTTTGTCAAACCAAAGAGGTTTGGAGCCAAGACAAACTCTGAGCAGTCCTCATGAAACTTTACCAGACAGTGGTATGGTGAGGTACCTTGTGGGTCTGGAGTAACCTGAATGTCTTCTATACATTTGACCTGTGTTTGTAACAAGTGTGTTTTGCTTTCTGATAACTTTTATGCACTTCCTTACTGATTCTCACAACCCCAGAGAGAGAAGCATCCAGCATTAAGTCTGATACACATAAAAGAAAACTAATTTTCATGCAATAAATTGTAAAATTGTGCAGCAATCTGCCATGGGAAGCTGAGGAGGTTAAAACATAAGTGGATTCAAAATGTACTTGCTAAGTTTGTGCCCATCAGTGCCCATTACACGAAGTGTGGCAATCCTGGATGCAGCTTTGCCTCAACAGGTTCTCAGGCTGCTGAGACTGGACTTTAGAAAAGAATAACCAGGAGCACATTTGCTCATTATACTTTCTCCACAACCATCCTTATTGACCAGTTCTGAGGTCGAGATATTCAGCTAAGTGGACTTTCGTGGTACCCATGCAACTTTTCTTACATTTTTTTTTTCTTCTTCCAGGGTGTGCGTTTGTGAAATACTCTTCACATGCAGAGGCCCAAGCAGCCATCAATGCCTTGCATGGCAGCCAGACAATGCCGGTGAGTAGCTCTGTGACATGGGCAATGAGGATTAGTCCAGCCTTTGCTGCCCTGTGGCCTGATGGAGAAGGAGGGGTGATTTATGTGTTCTGTAACTCATCTTCCAGAAAGGATGGGTAACAGCTCGGGCATGTAAGGCTTTAGGTGTTCTTAACTCATCAGTGGAAAGACCAGGATGTCACTGTTTCACACAGGTGCAGAACACCAACGGGTGCTGTGTTCTGTTACCTGAAGTTCTGAAAAAATGACATATGGTTCACAGATGACAAAAACATTCAGTCAAACTCACTGTAAGTGTAACCTTTCAAGTTTCAGAGGGATGAATGAAGTGGAAAGCTTTGTCTAAGAGCTTCTTCAGTTTTTCCTTCCCCAAAGAGTCTCTGCCTCTACATGAAGCTTAGGCAGCCTTTTGCCAATATACTCAGCAGAGAGCAGCTTGTTCACTAGAAGCTAGAGACAAATCACACAGTGATGGGTGCCTCTCACTGCTACTACAAAAGCGTAATATAAATGTGGTCCCTACATTCAACTTTTGAAGGACAATCAGACTAACTAATGCATTGTCCAGGAACTTTTGAGGGATCATTCCACTTGGACAAATACCTAGTAATACGCGGTTTGAGCCTGATAGTTCAGGAAAGTAGAAGTGAAGATCTATTTTCTATGCAAAAAGTTATTTGAACACCATCACACAGACCCAGAGGAATGTAAGACAAGCCACTGTCAGTGAGAAGGACAATCTGGTGCAACATGTTTTGGTTTATTATAACAGTATATTATTTTTATTACTAATTATTCACAGTGTAAATCATGAAAGACTAAGAAGTCTGTTGACAACTTGGAAAAGACACAGGAAAGCTCAATAAAAAATATTCAAGAGAGTAAAATCTCCCTTTCAGTAAGAGACTCTAATGTAAATTCATTAATTTATCCAAATAAGATTAAAGTTGGCCTGGCAGATTGTCTCTAGATCTTTGCAGGAACAAAAATGGAAAACTCTTCACAGGGGAAAAGGTTTCTAAAAGTAGCAAATCATCAAGATCTCATTTTTTGGAACCCCATCTTAGACAAATCAGTTTAAAAATGGTACATGTTTACCAGTGATAGCACTGAAAAAATCTCCTTAATGATGGGGGTCTTGGTTTTTTGAAGCATTGCGATACTCTTAGGATTCTCTTCCTAAAAGATTCTTTCTAACAAAACCAGATGTTGAGCTTGACATTGACATCCTGTAGTGAAATATAATGGACATCTTTCCTGAGACTGTTCAAAGAGGTAATTTTAATGACTTTCTTTCAGACTTTGACACAAGGTGATCGTGTCTATAAAGGCAGATCAGGAATTGGAGTTCCATAGGGTGTGATACCACAAAAAAGAGTAAGAAAAACTCAGTCTCTGTCCCAAAAATCTTGCAAATTCCTGTGACAAAGGTGACAGGAAGATAGGCTAAAACAGACAAAACCCAAAGAGAGTTGAAGATTTTATCTAGATCTAGGATACCCAAAATATCCTTATCCTTCCACAGCCCTTATCCATCCTACTTTCAGCACATTTTATATAAGTAAAAAAAATACTCTTCTCTCAACAACTTGGGAGCAAATTTCTGTTCCATCCTGCTGATATCAACTGGGCTTAAAATGTGCAAAATAATGAAGAATTTGTCCATTTCATGCGTCAGGTTTTTATGGGACCATTTTTACTGTTGACTTACTTGACTGAAACAGCTGATACAGAAATGTTCATGAATAACCAGACATGAGCATCTGAAAAGTATCACAATTTGACTCTTTACCAGACGCACATCCCAGGCTCACAATCAAGTTTCCATGGCTTGACAAGTTTCCATGAATTGGCTGAACCTCAGCAGCAATCCACAAACCTGCTCTTAGTTCACAGGAAAAGCAAGTAGAAAACAATTCATTTCATCCTCTTCATTATAAGCTCAGTTATTCAGTGTTGCCGTGTAGCTCCCATGAGCTACATGCCAGCACATGGGCAGTTACCATGGTTCGGCAGACTAGTGAAGACCTGTTGACTGACCACCACTTGATCAAGGCTTAGAACACACTTTTTTCTCCACAGGACCTCAAAATTTCTCAGGCATTTTGAATGAGATGGGCCAGATCCTGCAAGTGATCACCGTTCCCATTCTCATTTTCATGGTGCTTCGGGGTGTGCAGCTTCTTTCAGGGCTTGGATGTTCACAGGGAAATGCAGCCACCTCGTGGTGAGACGGCGACGTAGCCCTCGTCCTTGGAAAGGAGGGGTGCATTGCTGCCATCTTCCTTCAGTCCCCCCTCCCATTCCTCTCACCATTAGGACTGGCCTCATTTGTCCGGCTGCGGTGCCAACTCAAAGTTATTCCTGTGGTTCAGCCAATTTAAACGCCTCTTGCTGTGTCCTTGTGTACTACCAACGGGGCATCCATCATCATTCTTGTCAGGTCTCGAGCCGTTCGTTCCTGCGGCACACTCCTGTTTCTCCACAGCTGTCAGGATTATTGCTCTACTGTGACTTCCTGTTCACACAACATATGTTGCCTAATAGTTTCAAAAGGCAACTTTCTTTTATGAAAGTTTTTTGGGGGTTGTTTTTCTTTTTTTAATTAACCTTTCCTTGGACAGGTGCCTGACCACCATCCATCACAAGACCACTTGTCTATGTAAGGCACTTGTTTCTTCTAAGGGCCAACTGAACAGCTCTACAGCTTTACAATTTTCACACAATCAGTTAATTTTAAATATAACTTTCCCCAAACCCCTTACTTTTGGGCAGGCCCAAAGTTCCTTCAGTATCTACCTGCCAAAGAGATTTTGGGGGTTCTATAAAATCATATTGCCTATCAACTCATCAGCTTTATGATAGTGTTATACTTGACCTCCATGTCTTCCTTCATGACAGATCATACTGTACTTTTGTATCTATTTATAACAATTTTATTCCCTTTACTTTTAGCTTGGCTACTCTCTCACTTCCAGTCTCTCTTCCCCATCAACATGGGGGCATAAACATGTCTCTTCAAGTGATTCTCTTCCCTTCCTCATCCAAGCCTTACCCCTAGCAGCCTTGCCCACCAACACAAATTCACCTACGATTTCTATAGTGACAGCTTGCAGATCTAACATCTCTACTGCAGGACTGACTCCTGTCCAAACTAAAATCTTGGCCTGTCTTTCCACTATCTCCTAATGGAAGTCTAGCTGTCAGATCAAGCTCCTCTCCTCTCTCCTCAGCCTCCATTCTCAAACAATGTGGACAACATTATCATCCTACCTGTGAGTCATGCTTCTACCTAGGTATCATCTTCATCTTGGTTTTCTCTTTTTCTCCATGTCTTCATAGATGGGAAATAGACAGATATTGAAGAGTTGTTCTGTACAACACGCCTAAAACATCTAAGATATGGCCTTGTCCATCTAGCCATGCAGAATAAACTCTGCTCCACACATCATCATGCATCTCTAAACTACAGTAGCCTTTATCCTGTACCCAGAAATTGCACAGGGTTAAAAACTATACTACTGTTGCATCTTTCTCACTATGTCACCCACTGTGGCACTTCAGAATATCTTTTGTTATTAATTGTCTCCTGGAAGGGGTAGAACAGTACTGTTTATCTACTTTTTCTGCACAGAGGTGAGAAGTAAAGAGTGTGATTCATCTGATTTAGCTTTAACAGTCTAAAAGTTTGTAATCTATTCTAAACATCATCCAGCATTCCTACAAAAGGAAAGAGAGAGGGACATTTCTATGTATTTGTGCATTCTTCCCTTTATCTATCCATGCTAGGATGGACCAAATCACCTTCTGTGCATGCTTGTCCCTATCATTAATTATAACGGAGATCTTCATAACGGCATTAGACTGGATACCTGAGGTGGGACTCGTCTCACCTAATTTGAGACATCCAGAAGCTAAGGAACTATGCCTGAGGTTGTCATCTAAGTGTTTGTCATCTAAGTTTCTACTCTAATCAATAGAAAGAAATAGATACCTCTGGAGGAATTCTATTTTACAGAAATACATTTTGAAATCTGTCATACCAAAACCCAAGTAGAAGTGTGCTTTTTAGTTAACTTGAGGTGTCAGATTCCTGTGGTCTGCCAGTTCCAAAATAATGTTCTTCATCCAAAGTGCAACTTAGAATGAAAAAGGACCCATCCTTCTTAAAAGCTAAAAATACTTATTTCCTGCAGCTGTCTCGGAGCCTACGATTGCCTTTGCCACCCTGAAATTATTCTGCTTCACTTGTCACTGCCACAGCTCGAGCTGAAGCTCTAGACCTAGGGTGACTCCATACCAGCAGATATTAGCCACCTACAAGTCAGATATTAAAGCTGTTGACTTGGCCTCTTGTCTGATGGTGATTCCTCACACATAGCTCAAACAGGCTGAGCCAGGGAAGCATCTTCTTCCCCTCTGACTATGGAAGGAGCTGAACTGATTGTGCAGCTTAGGGTGGAAACCTGACTTCATGTCCAGTGTGAGGGGAGCTGAATTCTACTTTGGATGCTTGCTGCCCAAGCAAAACAATTTGGAATTGAGAAAGTAGGCATCCCACATCTGAGTCCTCTGACTCCTGATCTGCTATGTGTACTGTTAACTTGTCTAATACTCTAACAGTCGGCACTATGTTCATCCTGTATCTTTCTTCAATTCATGACATTTAAGGCCATTAAGACCTCCAGAACGCTGTAAATTGGCTTCCAGCACCACACAGGCCAAGTCCTCTTTTATTTTATATAGAAGTCTTCAACATCTTGGTCAAACCACAGCATTTCTTCTGCATCCAGGCAATAGCATCCCAAGTCTATCTATGCCTGGCTGAACATCTTCCATGAAAATTACTTTTCGGATGGAATCCTTGGTTTTGTGAAAAGAAAGGGAAATGAAAGATTTGGATACAAGCATCGAGCAGATGTCTGCTTTTCAGAGAAAGATTCAACTTAGCTGAACTTGAAAAAAAAGTACTGAAACCCACAACTTTGTTCACTTGGGGG